TTAAATTTTTTAAGAGATATCTATCGACTACACCCTTTTTTCACCCCCACTGTCTAAAAATTTCTGGATAGATTCCGTTCAACGTTCAACTATATATTTTTCTGAGAGCTAAAAGAAAATCAGCTGTTCATATATAAGGGTGTAAATAGGTTAGGCTAGATTAGACTTTAACTTAAATATATCAGATTTATGTAAAAAATATTGGGTTTAGCCTGACCTGTTAGCCTGTGTAGGTCCTAAATTACAAGTTTGACCTGACTTATATATAAAAAATAAAAGTCTTGACCTAGGCCTATTAGTCTGTTTAAGCTTATTAAATATGGCTTTAATATTTCTACAGTGAAAGTAGATAAGTTATCTACATTTGCTCCCAAAACGACATCGTTTTGGGTTGAAAAATAAAAAATTATAATAAAAAAGACTATTATAACCCTGAAATAAATCATAATTATAAAATACATTGATTTCCGCCTTAAAACGACGTAATTTTGAGCTCAATATAGATAAGTTATCTACATTGGCTGTAGAAAAAGTGTACACATTAAATATTCAACAATTAAAAGAATAACTAAACTATTATTACTTTATTATTTAAAATTATTAAAATAATAATTTTATTTATTTTATTTAAAATAAATAGTATGATATAGGCCGACCTATAAGTCTACAGGCTCGATATGTACAAAAAAAACCTATGACCTATTTTGTAAATAGGTTTTTTTAAAAGTCTAAACATGTTCCATTTTATTATTTGTAATAGACCAAACCTAGCCTAATATAGACTAGGCCGTAGGCCCATGTAAACCGATCTAATCCATGTACACCCCTATTCATACGATCCCAGTTTAGCTCTTTTCTGAATTATTATAGGCTATAAAGTTTCTAAAATTATTTTAAAAAAATTTATTTAATATTCACCAAAATAACATAATTTTAAGGTTAAAAGGCTAAGAAATTAGAATGATAAAAATTATTATAATCCTTCAATAAATCAAAATTATAAATACGTAATGATTTTTACTCAAAATAATATTATTTCGGTGAATATGAGATAAATTTTTTTAAAAAATGAACTCTAAATAATAATATAATATTTCGGTGTGAAACTCCGTGTGTAAATCAACTGTGATCTACAACATGCCAAAATTGTAAAGTTAGTTGAAGAGATTCCAAGCAACTTCATGAAAGCGATTTCTCTTATTTGGATATTATCTATTGGTATATCAATTCCTCGATTAGTTGGATTAGGATAGGATTATATGAGATGTAAAACTCTACATACCAAGTTATTGAAGCCACTAATTAAACTGAAATAATTTTTTATGTTGATCCACGTATTTAGAGGTTAGATTACTTTATCTTTGTTTATGCAAAATTCGTAACAAAACTCTTAGCTACCGTTTAGAATAAAAAAATCTTCTTTTTTTAAGATCACAAAATTTTGTAATTAAGAAATGAAACTGTTTTTGAGCAAGGTTATATTTACAATTTATTTTTGTATACAACTACTTACACTCATATTTTAATTATTGATTTCCACAAATCAATGGTTACTATTTTTATAAATCAAACTCATTAATTAATTAATTATTAATTCATAATAAATAATAATCATTGATCGACACGAAAATCAACAATTAATATATGATTATAAGAGATTGTAAGCGAAAATAAATTGTAAGTGTAACCTTACTCATTGTTTTTAGTATAGATGAAATAGCACTATCTTTTAACTGAATTATATTTTTAACTTAATAATTAAGAAATGATACTAATGCATTTATCATTTCATATACGGTAAGTTTTTTATTATTATTTAAAGGAATAATATGTGATTTGAGTGTTCAAAGGAGATTCATAAAAAAAAGAGAGATCAGAAATGAACAATAATGAGGTGTGAACGTTGTTAAAAATCAAACTTGCCTAATTACTGTTAGCACATAAATTACAAAAAGAATACACATATAACAATTTTTATTGTATAGTTATAATATATTTACTAAGAGCTTTATAAAAATTTCTTGGTTGTTTCGGTTCAACTATTTAGTTTACTAACATTTCATTCGGTCATAGTTTAACTCTTTTATGAATTAAATATATAATATAAACTTGCGGGATCTACAACGACCAATATTGTAAAGTTGAAGAGATTCCTAGTACTTTCATAGAAGTGATGTCGCACTCTTTTCCCCCTTCTTTATTTATTTATGGTTTGTTTTTATAAAGTTATTTTAGATAACTTTATCTAATGTTCTTCTAAATGATGTCGTTTTGGGACAAAAATTATGTTATTTTTATAATTATAATTTATTTCAAGGTCATAATAGTCTTTATCATTTTAATTTTTTTATTTTTCAATCTCAAAACGACGTCGTTTCAATAAACATTAGACAAAATTATCTAAAGTAACATTAGATACTTTTTTCCTTTTATTTATTTAAGAAGATGTATATTATTTTAGGGATTTATTAATCTCCTTTAATAGAAGATAGCTTGCATCATTCATAAAAATAAATTATGTGGGTCCCATTATTTTTTAAAATAAAAAAATTAAAAAGCGAATGACATAATTTTTTATGTCTCATTGACATAAGATAATTATTTTTTATAACCAAGCGGGATCCATTGGTTTAAAATAAAAAAGATAAAATTGCTGACAAGTATTTCAATCTTTGCACATGAGAAAATTTTGTTTTACTGTGCAGACTTCCACTTCAGTTATTTTAATTATGTGAAAGAAATGTACCAAAAAAAAAAAAAATTATGTGAAAGATTATTATTATTAGAAAACATAAAAGATATTTGTTTTATAGGCTAAAAGATATTTGAGTAGATCCTACTCCTAGTATAGTTTTTTTTATTTTATTTTTTTCTTTATTGCCTCGTGACTTGTGACTTTGTTCCATTAATGAGTTTAAAATAAGGAAAATCTTTTCGTTTTATTCTACGTTTATTGATCGAGAATGCCTCAAGTCAAGTTCAAGAAAATATAATTTTTTAAGACTCTAGTTTATTTAGAGTAAATATTCTTTTTGGTTCTTAGCAAATTTTAGTCCCTAGCAAATAAAAAGGCTCATCGTAGTCTCTAAAAAATTCAAAATGGATCCATTTAAGTCCTTTTAAGGACTAATAAGAGTCTTTTTTTAAATTGTAAGGGACCACGATTTCAACTAAATGCGCCCATTTTGAATTTTTTAGGGACCACGATGAGCCTTTTTATTTGCTAGAGACTAAAACGGACATTGAAATTTGCTGAGAACCAAAAATGATATTTACTCTTTACTTTATATATATTCTACGTTCATTGAGCGAGAATCAGTCAAGTTCAAGAAAATATAATTTTTTAAGACTCTAGTTTACTTTAGAGTAAATATTCTTTTTGGTTCTCAGCAAATTTTACGATGCTCGCTTTAGTCCTTAGCAAATAAAAAGGCCCATCGTAGTCTCTAAAAAATTCAAAATGAATCCATTTAAGTCCTTTTAAGGACTAATAAGGGTCTTTTTTGAATTTGTGAGGGACCACAATTTCAACTAAATGAGCCCATTTTGAATTTTTTAGGAACCACGATGAACCTTTTTATTTGCTAGGGACTAAAGCGGGCATCATAAAATTTGCTGAGAACCAAAAATAATATTTACTCTTTACTTTATATATATTCTACGTTTATTGAGCGAGAATGTCAAGTCAAGTTCAAGAAAATATAATTTTTTAAGACTCTAGTTTAATTTTATATATATATATATATATATATATATATATATATATATATATGTGGTTAAGATTATTCTATATCGATATAAATTATATTTTTAAATTAATTTTACTTATATTTAAGACTCTAACTTTTTAATTATGTAAATTATTGGATATAAATGAATTATTAATTTTATTCTAATTCTTTATTATTGACTAAGTATAGAAATATAATTTATACTGGTATAAAATAATTTTAATCTTATATATATAGATACATAAAGTAAAACTATTCATTAATTTAATTATATTCTTAATTTTATAATTAAGAAAAGATACTAATACATATGTCCTTGCCTTGTATATATGGCAAATATATATATATTTTTTTTGGAAAAGAAAATTTATCGTTCAAGTGAGTATTAATGGTATTTGTAAAATTTTTATGAAAAAAGAGATGAGAAATAGAAAGGAGACGAAAACATTGTTAGAAATTAATTTTCTTTTCAATTTTGGCCACATAAATTGTTACAACTTACAAGAGTACACATATAACAATTTTTTATTATTTAATTATAATTAATTTTTGTACTTGTATTTTAATATTACGACTTATGTGTCACGTGAGTAGGTGCCACAAAAATGTGTACGAAACATTAATATAATAATAAAGAGCTTGACAATTCCAAAAAAAATAAAGCTTGACACAACAACCGTGAAATCTGTTGGTGCTAAGAAACCAGCCAAGTCCTTTTCAAAAAAAATAAAAAAAAAATAAAGCAATTATTAGGTCACTAATAAAAAATATGATCTTTGCTTTTATCTTTTATATAAAAAAATATCGATATTAATTTTTTTTTTAAGGATTAAATTAAATTTATGAGGAATCATATTTTTAAGGGAAAAGTTCACAAATGTCACTGTGGTTTACTTCAGAATCACTTATGTCCCTGTAATTTTTTCTTATCACATATGCCCTTTTGGTTTGTAAAAGGGTATGTTTTTTTATCACATATACCCCTGTGGTTTCTTATTTTTTACAAAGCACAGGGGCATATGTGATAGAAAAAAAACCACAGGACATAAATGATTCTGAAGCAAACCACTGGGGTATTGTTGAACTTTTCCCTATTTTTAAATAACTGAAATTGCAGAAGAATCAAAAATTAATTTTTTTTGTAAAGGACCAAAATAAAAACTGTATTTTTTACTAGAGATCCAAAAAAAAAGAAAGATGGACGATTTCTAATTTTTTTCTCTATAAAATGGGAAGTTTGCAATTTCTTCTCCTCCACCAAGACTATCTCTCTATCACTTATTTCACTGCTTCAATAGTCCCAAAAAGTTTTTGTGAAGAGATATTGTTCTTTCACCAAGAACTCTTGTGCTCTGTGTTTGGTTCTAGCTATCATTCTGTATTATGGCTCAGACTACACCAAATCACACACAAACCGTATCTGGTTGGGCAGCTCATGATTCTTCTGGCAAGATTACCCCATTCACCTTCAAAAGAAGGTAACTAATTTCTGTTTATGAAATGTAAAAGAAAAGTATAAACTTGTTTCTGATGTATAGTAACCTCATCTTTCATGAAAACGCAGGGAAAACGGAGTTAATGATGTGACCATACAGATCCTGTATTGTGGGATTTGCCACACTGACCTCCACTATGCTAAAAATGACTGGGGCATCACTATGTATCCTGTTGTACCCGGGTAAGTAATTAAATTTGTATATGGAAGTGTTAGTGATAAGTTACATAACTAACATAAAAGTGAATAGATCCACACAAATTTAATTTAATGACTTTTAAATTAAGTTCATTTAATTGTTGATTCTCTTGTCTTTTTTTCTCTCTATTCAACGCAAAATCAATGTTACGGAGATACTCATATTTGTGGATATATGTAGGCACGAGATCATTGGGGTGATAACTAAGATGGGGAGCGAAGTGAAGGGTTTCAATGAAGGAGAGAGAGTAGGGGTGGGGTGTTTGGCAGCTACATGTTTGGATTGTGAGTACTGCAAGAGCGATCAAGAGAACTATTGCGAACAGTTGCAATTTTCATACAACGGAGTTTTCTGGGATGGCAGCATCACCTATGGGGGCTACTCCGAAATGTTCGTCGCTGATTACAGGTTGATCATTATTTATATATATCATTATTTATATATATTTTTGTGTAAAACTACTTTTGAGTCTCTAACAAAAATTGCCGTCTCATTTAGTCCATTACAAAAAAAAAAAAAAAATAGTCATAATGTCTCTAAAAAATTTAAAGTGAATTCATTTAATTGAAATTGTGGTACTCACAACTAATTTTTTTTATAAAATACTAAAAGGGAAATCAAAGTCTTCTGCTGCAGTAAAATTAATTTCTCTTCTGCTCTCACATAAAAAGTCGTGCATTCCTTTTTTGATTTTTTTTTATTTTTAAATTTAGATGGGCTCCACCGTTTCTTCTCTCAGTCGGAGAGAACTGATATTTTTCTTGCTACATGAGACTAATCAACCCCATACTAAAATATTGATAATCATATTTTTTATTTTGAATCGTATAGTTGGAGCTCATTTGGATTTACTTTCCAATTTTTTTGTCTTATTTATATTAAAAATATTTTTTACCAAAGTTAAATTTATATAACATTTTTTAAAAATATTTGGTTTTTAATTTCTGATTCTTTTAAAAAAAATTTACACTTTTAGTTTAAAAAAAATAGATATTTGATTTTTTAATAATTTTTATTTTTTAAAAAACAGATATTCAAACAGATTTTTTTCAAGGAGTAATTTTTTAAAAATAAAAATAAAAATTCATCCAAACGAACCTGGATCTTCTTGAAGTTCTTTTGAGATTCCATCTTCTGAAAAATAAAAAATAGCATTTAAGAGAAGATAAAATCGCTTCGGGTGTTTGGTTGAGGAGAAATTTTTTGAAAACTAGAGAAATGGTTGAAAAATGAGTTTGGTAAGAAAATGTAAAAAAAATTGTTTGGTTGACCAAAATATTAACAGGGAAATTTATTTAAATTTGCAAAATCTATGTTCGGGAGAAACTTCGCACCTGTTTTTTCACTTCCCCAGTTATCTCAAAATACCACATCTCAAGTAGTATTTTGTAACAGTGAATTTCATCCAAAAATCAACACAAAAGTCATTTCTCCATCTATCCTATTTGCCTAGTATTTTTTTCAAAAACCTGAACCAAACGTGATATTTTTCAATATTCATTTACACTTTCTCATCAATCCCAAAATAAATCTTTTCCCAAAAACACTACCTTAAAGTCATCAAGTGAAAGTCGTTGAAGTGATTGGCTGAGGCATATTATTGCGGTTTAATGGATGGTCCAACTTTTTTTTTTTTTTTTGGACTCTACAAGCATTGGAACAAGGACCATTATGTTGTCCTCCAATAAGCAACAATAACCATATTGACCACGAATGCCAGTGATGGTCCCAACTTTTAGGTCTGGTCTTTTCACACTACAGTCCTTACAAGTCAATAATAAATAAGGTTATTTATGAGGAATATTCGGAGTAAATAAATATCCTGCCACTTTGAGTATTGTAGTGGGAAAAGACTAAAGAGAATTAGAGAAGTAAGAAGTGCAACTTATATTTAGGGATTTGTATGGTTCCGTTTAAATTTTTAATTTCATTATTGGGTTTATTCATTATGAATTGTTTCTTAAGAATATTAAATTTTGATGTGAAGATATGTGGTGCACATTCCGGAAAACCTGTCAATGGACGCAGCAGCTCCTCTACTGTGTGGGGGCATAACAGTATTCAATCCATTGAAAGAGCACGGTTTGGTAGAATCAGGAGGCAAAAAGATTGGGGTGGTTGGTTTAGGAGGACTTGGACATATAGCTGTCAAATTTGGCAAGGCATTTGGTCACCATGTTACTGTTATCAGCAGTTCTCCGTCCAAAGAAGCAGAGGCTAAGCAGCGTTTGGGAGCAGATGATTTCATTGTTAGCTCCAACCCCAACCAATTGAAGGTTGGCTAGCTTTTTTTCATAGGTCTTTTGATCCATATAATACAAAAAAATAAATTTTTTTTATCTGTTTGACAAATTATCAATCAATCTAATGCAAATAAAACACATATTGAAAATGTACACCTTTAAGTTGTGCATCACTTTTATACGAGGCTTGTGTAAAAGTTAACCCAATACAAGATACATATTCTAATAATGTGCATTCAAATTATGCATACTCCTATGCGCATTGTGGAGAGAGTGATTTGCATAAATCACACATAGACTTAAACGTGTATATTTTCTATGTACATTTCACTCATGTTAAATTATTAAATTTAAAAAAAAAATCGATGAAATGTCTCAACTTTCACATTACATAGGTCAAAAAGCCTATTTCATGTCATACCTATGTATTGATATTTGGTCCACGTTACAGGATTGTGTTTTTGGGCTTTGGCTAATGGGTCATCGCGATGCAGAAATAATTTGAAGAAAATTTATTTGGGCTTTTTTGATGACAGGGTGCGAGGAGAAGCCTAGATTTCATTTTGGATACTGTATCAGCAGAGCACTCTCTCATATCCATCTTGGAATTGCTCAAAGTAAACGGCACTTTATTTATCGTGGGTGCACCGTCCAAGCCATTCGAATTACCTGCTTTCCCATTGATATTTGGTAACATTAACCCCTTAATTACCCGTGTATTTGCTAATTAATTAATCACCTTTGGTTGGTCGATTTATAAGACCCACAAAAAAAAAAAAAAATAAAGTTAGAATAAAGTTGGTGATCATAGCACTGATTAACATTTGTGACAGGCAAGAGATCAGTGAAAGGTGGCATCATAGGGGGAATAAAAGAGACGCAGGAGATGTTGGACGTTTGTGCGAAGCACAATATCACGTGTGACATTGAGTTGATCACAACAGACAGAATCAACGAGGCTATGGAGCGCCTTGCTAAGAATGATGTCCGCTACCGTTTCGTCATTGACATTGCTGGCAGCTCAAAACGCTAGCCTTTTTAATTGTCACTGGCGAATCGTTCATATAGTTTTATTTGTAGTATTTATTTGATACATGAAACTTGGGCTCCATTAATGTATTCTATGGTTGTGTGTTATGTATACTACTTAAGTGCTTCGCATTTAATTTTCTGCACAATTTTTGTTTTATATTTATATTCCTACCTCGAGCTCTGGGATAAAAACAATTTACATAAAATATTTTCTATGGTTATCTTGAACCACGTAACTCGACCCGAAAAACTTTTTAAGTAAAAAGTGACGACTGACGAAGTTGGCGAGTAATAGACATGGTTGGTGTCTCTGATTATATAATTTTTGTAATGTGCTAACGGAGAAGATATGAAACAACCTTATTATATATGCTGTGCACATGGTGAAAATGCACTATTTTATTTTGCTATTCTTTTTACCTGTGTGAAAGATTCTCTCTAGCTCCCACGAAATTGGAATGAATGAACAACCTTACCCTGTAATTTTAAAGATCATATAATAGAGGACATTCAGTAAGATATTTGAAGAGAGAAAATGGAAATTGAGACATATATTAATAAACAGATGACTGACAAAGACTTTGAACCCCAATACCTACTTGTCTGTGTCCTAATGATGCAAATAATGTAATTATCATATGCAGGTTGTCTAACAGGGCCATCTCCAGCCTTCTTTGCTTCAACAAGAGGCTTGCATAATATATATTGATTTCCACATTGAAACTGAAACATTCAAAGAAAACAAGAAAAAGAGGAAACACTACAAAAAAAAGTGGGATATAGAGGCGGTGTCTTAGTGGCTGATTTAGAAACCGACTCTATATCTACTTATCTAGTGATTAACAAAGCCCCTAAGCTACTTAAAGATATTTTTTTCTCTCTCTCCTGAGGCTAAGTATCCCATTGGTATCTCATTTTTTTTCCTTGTTCGCAGCAAAAACATTTCCTAATTTTTTTAGCCTCAGATTGTTCACCGTATTTCTATTTTTTTATCTAAGCTCAGATATTTGGGTATTTTCTTTCTTCATCTTCTTTCTTTCTTCTTCGCTAGGTTTTAAATTGATTTTCTAATTAATATACTGATTTCGATCTTCGCTCCATTTTGGAAGATTTTTGGATTTGAAGGATAACAAGGTGAGAATTTAATTGGCATTTTATGGTAACATTACCACAAACCGTTCTCAGCAGCACCATCCACCAGGTCTCCTTGCCCATTACATGCTTGATAAAATGCCCAAAGGGATAATGACTATAATGGATTATAAACTTTTTCTGCTATATTTTAATTTCTTTTGCTATATTTCGAGATATCTTTTGGATATGCTATGCTCTCCAATAGCAAAACCTAAAAAACATTGTTTTTTATTGTTGGTGCATATATATTTTAATGGCAGAACCTGACCACATATTTGTAAATCCTTTGCCTAATTTGGCTTATGGAACCCAACAGCAAGGTATCCATTTTTCTATATAAGACCAGCTAAAAATGAAAAAATAATTAGGAAATTCTATCCTGAGGAGAAGGGTCCTGTTACTGATGTTGATCCCATTGGCAATTCTCCTGTAATCATTCAGAAGGTGTAGTCTCATTTAATAGTTTGCACTTTACATGTGTTGCCACATTGATTTTATTTGTAATATTCTTACTGTTATAGCTATTATAAGATTTTTCTTCTTTTTCTAAAAGCCTAATAATCTTCCATTGAGGCATTGATTTTTCTTTATTATGAGTCCCTGCTTGAGGAAATAGCCCCTACGTGGGTGAATGTTTCTTTGCGAATGAAAGCTGATCCAGAAACTGATGAAGCTTTTGGATGGGTACTTGAAATTTTGGGTGGGTACTTTTGCGAATGTCATCTGCATTGCATGGTGTACGACATGTTCTTCAAGACAACTTTATGCTGCAGGTTTGAATTGTTTATATTCTCTGGTATTTTCATTTCCTCCCCTCTATTTGTTCATTTGTGAATGGGAGATTGCATCTTAACTTGAAGAAGTAAAATATAAGTTAATAACATGCACATCCTTGGAATGTTTCAGCCACCTTGGGAGAAAGATGTTGGGAAAAAGTTTATAATCCATTATACTTATGCTAGTTATAAGAGTTATTTAGAAGTATTTTGTTCTAATATTTATATTTATATTTATATTTACAAACCAGTATTTGTATTTCTAGTTATAAGGTAAAGAAGAGAGAGATTGAGAGAGTACAACTTTAGAAGAAGAGCAATAAAGGATTAAAGTAAAACTAGTGCTCAACGTATGTTAAGGAAGGACTGATGTTTGTTATACATCCTTTATTACGATTAGTTTTATTAAAACATTTACGTACTTACGCTACCATATTGCTAGTGTACAAAGAGATGTTAAGTGAAAGTAATTACTATCAAATTACAAATATTGATTGCTGTGTGTACTTTATCAGGCACTGCACTTTTCCTTTTTTTGCTGCTTGTTTTCAGTGGATGCCATGGTCTAGCTAACTCTACTTTTTCTTGTCTTCTTTCGTTTGCTCATTTAGTTCTCAACCTTTTCTGCAGATTGCTATGACCCGTGGGATCCAAATGGTAACATTTCGGTAACTTTTGACATTTACCAACGGACAGACAATGGATATCTGGTCAGTACCATCACCCTTTGAAACCGCAATTTGATTTTTGAACCTCATATTTAGCTGCTTCACGATTATGGTCAACAAAGCATAGCAAAAATTACTCAGGATGCCACTCAGCACACTTTTATCTACTTTCTATGTTTCTTTACTTGAAGAAGAACAGTACTATAATAAATCCTAAAAGCAAATATTTTCATCTTCAGTTCTTGAACTTAAAAAAGATACTATAATGTCTTAGGGATACAAGAATGAGAACTTGCCCCGATGAATCACATAATGAAATTTCAAAATTTCCAATCAACTTAGCCAATGATCCAATGTATGAAGTTGATCTGAAAATTACACTAATTAAAGGCATTTCGAGTTGATTCTTTTGACTGTAACTAATTGATTAAGTTCTATCATTTTGCGTATATATAATGTTAAGTTATGAAGCACAACTAGAATCTACCATGAAGCCTTGAATGTTTTCAACAGGGAAGGGTGACCCTTCAAAACTATTACCAATATCGCCATGTAGACAAACCTGGGTGGAAACTAGGATGGATATGGGCTAACAATAAAGTGATATGGTCAATGAATGGTGTCGTTGCAACTGATAGAGGGAATTGCTCATCTTATAGCGGCTCTCAGATGCCACATTCTTGCAAGAAAGATCCCATCATAGTTGATCTCACTCCAGATGTCACAGAAAACAGGTCAGAGCATTGCTGTAATGGTGACCTTCTCTCTGCATGGGCTATTGATCCTTTGAAGTCATTCTCTTTATTTGAACTTGAAGTTCGCAACTTGGGGGAAACCCACTTGGACAAGCACCTAATAATCTTACATTGATGGCCCCAGGTCCTGGTTACACTTGTAATCCACTTCTGGATGTTGATCCCACTGTTTCCTCAGATTTTGGGGGACGAAGACAAGTTCCAGCTATCAGTAAGTTCTTTGTGACTCTGACATATAGACAATGTAGTTCTGGACATTATTAATCATAAAAAAGAATTGAAAACAATTTCTTGTTTAATTTCTTTATATTTTTTCTCTTCTATTCTCTTCTCACTTGAATTTTATATTGTGGATTCATGTTTCTTTCCTTTTTACTTTTTTTTTTTTTTTTTTAAGAAAATGTGGTGTGGAGATATAGTAACACAAATCTATTTCTTTAATCCACAAGTAGAAGTAGGATAGGAATTGAGAAATGAGTAATAAGTTAATGAACTAGTGGATGATTTATCTTTAAATTTGTGCGATATTTTTACTAATCAGGTTCCAAGTTTCTTTCCTTGTCTTTCTACCCTGACCTCTCTAATATGTGTAGTTGGTTTGTCTTTTGAATTTGCAGCATCTAATTGTAGAACAAGTATCTCATATGGGTTTGAATTCTCTTCTTATTGTCTGAAAGCTAAACAAATGTTATTTGATAAATAATCACATATCGTGTATTTAAAATATTATACATTATTTGAAATATTATTCACAATATTAAATTTTTATTTGATAAATAATCACATATAGTGTATTAAAAATTAATAATTATAATAAAATTATATAGATAAATTATTTAAAAATAAATAATTATTCAAAAAAAATTATCATGAAATTGATCAATCCGAATTGGTATTACACTTGAGAATTTAAGACCTGTTTCCTTAGTATGTTCCTTTCCATTTAATAATTTATTTTTATTAGAATTTTATTTAAGATTTTAGCTATGATGATTTGATGAAACGATTACTTATGAGAATACTTATTAGAATTTCACATGATTTTTTTTTATTGATCTATTGTTAATATATCGTCATCCACAGTACACTTGCTTTTTGCTCTTAAACACATTTCATCACCCAATATTTTCTACAATTGTTAATAGCTGGTTTTATAGCTGCACGGTAGGATTTTTCTTTGAGTTTAATTGACGTTTACAATTACAAGTTATGCTAGAAGCATTTTTCCATTTATTTCACGCAACTTGAATCCTATGAGTGACACCTTTATTAATCTCCGTCACTTATCATGCTCTCTATACAGTATTGCATAAAAGGAAAAGAGTGTTTGATAAGTATCAAGACCAAGGTATCATTCTTTTACCTTATATTTTTATTTTTTTCTATCATTTTTCGGTTTTATTACTTGAATCATTCTCTGGTTATTTGTCGCATTTATAGCAATGAGGGTTATAGTTAAAATAGCAAACTATATTTTCGAATATGACAAGAGAGTGGACAAAAAGATTTTCTTGACCATCACCGTAATTTTCGTTGTGCCATGTAGTTGTTCACATTATCTTGTCACTATATTTTTACATTATCTTTTTTTTTAAAATAATTCTATATACATCTTTTACATTAGAATATTTAATTTAAAAAACATGCTCTTGCTTGTTGATTAGAATCTATTGTAATGACTTGTAACAATATTGTTCTGGACACTATCATGATAATCAAAATGTGCTTAAACTAAACTTATAGTGATTAACTTTATTTTATAAGTATGTAATGTAAAAGCATTATTTTGTTGTATCAAAATATACCTATACCTGTTGAA